CACTAGAATTTCGGTTCAGGTGTACAGGCACCTATGTGGGCCCTGCACCGGTTTGCGGTGTATGCTGAGCTGTCTCCGCAGCTTTTTTTTGAGTGTATGCTGAGCTGTCTCCTCAGCATATGAAGTGTCTCCTCACCGAATCAGGTGTCTCCTCACCATACACCCCCCACAAGCCTCACGGCTAAACGCCGACATGCAGCACTGGGGGGCGGGAACGCTGTGCACTGGGGGGCCCCCCAAACGGCCCAGGGTCCTGGGGCCATATGGGGTTGGTGGGGGCCCCAACGGGGCCCCCTATCTCCCGGGGCCCTCTGCGACTGGGGGGGCCCCCAAGGGGACCCCCTAACTCCTGGGGTCCTGTGGGGCTGTGAGGGCTTCCAAGGGGGACCCCTAACTCCTGGGAATGTGGGGGGTTGGGGGGCCCCTCGGGGGGCCCCCCTAATTCGTGGGGCCCCCCTAACTCGTGGGGCCCAATTGGGTTGGGGGGGCCGCCGAGGGGGACCCCTAACTCGTGGGGTCCTGTGGGGTTGGGGGGGCCCCCGAGGGGGCCCCCTAGCTCGTGGGGCCCAGTTGGGTTTGGGGGCCCCCCGAAGGGGCCCCCAGACTCCTTCGGGGGCCCCGGGTGTGGTGCAGGGGAGGGGCTATCGTCTGGAAAGCCACTGAGGAGGGGCTCGCCGAGATCTAAGAGAGCAAACTCGAGGGGGGTTGAGGGCGGGAGAGGTGTGGGGTGGTGTGGGGAGGAGACAGGAGGAGACAGGGCCTCCTGTCCCTGTGCCCATGCTTCTGCTGTCTCCCCGTGTATACCCCAAGGAGAAGCGCTCAGAGAAGACGCAGCAGCACCACCATCGGCTGCTGCTGCTGCTGCTGCAGATGGTCCTGCTGCTGCTGCTGCTGCTGCTGCTGCTGCTGCCTCGCTTTCAAACCGCTGCTGCAGCTGCTGCAGAGACAGGGCCCTCGAGCTTCCCCCCCCAAAGGGGACAGGCAGCTCCCACGCCGCCAGCACAGACCCGTGGGGAGACAGCAGCAGCCCGATCTCTGCAGCGCACCAACAGTAGCAGCAGCAGCAGCAGCAGCAGCAGCAGATGCAGAAGGATAAGGGACAGCAGCAGAAGCAGCAACAAAAGCAGCAGCAGAGGCAG